TTTGAAAGTTATATAGAGAGATAGACGAAAGGAGATGTAGAGACTGGAAAATTTTAAACTTTTTAAAGAGAGAGAGAGTGAAATTATAAAGGAATATAAGGAAAAGTGGATGCTGGATATTTTACTAAGAGATGATGAAAATTTCTCTAACGTCAAGTATGAGAACAGTAAAGTTAGATATATACCCGAAGATCTATATTTGAGGTGATCTATTTGCTTTAGAAATTTGCTCCGGGATTTTAGGCGAACGGACTTTAGCTTTTGATTCTCCATTAATTAGAGAAGGCGGAAATAACTCAGAGTCATATTTCCAAGGCAAGTCGCAACATTCGGGAATATTATATAGTAAGTATGTACATTATATATATATCAAATGTTTTGAAGCTTATTGTGTTACATAAAAATTATTTCAGTTCACTCTCTAGCTCAATAGTTTCAGCTCCGTCTAATACTTAGCATGTGTTGGGTAACTCGCTCGAGCCGCGCGCATTTTCCCCATTTACTCAACACGTGAATTTACGCTTAGCTTGGATCAGCGGCCTCTCCGCGAACACCCTTATGCGTGTTATCGTTTACCAAGCTGAAGTTTGAGAGAAATTCGTGTCGTAAAATTCATTTAGTTATGTGTTAGCTTGCACTACTATGACGGCCATGCGTTGTGCACCGTGTTGCAGCTACCATTTGCTGCTGCAAGTTGCATGCTTCATTGCCGCACACACATACTGGCTTTTGTGCACGATATTTAGTTCCGTCGGCTTTGGATTTTTGTCATTTTGCCTTTAACATCGTGATCTCACCACCATCACCATCTCACTCGCCTTCACTTGGTATGCATTCAAAGTGGGATTGCTGTGTTTGCCTGCAAGGAAATTAAAGCATTGCGTTGTCAGCACCACGACCACGTTTGACATATTACACACATATGCACTTGCACACATACACACATACATACGCATGAAGTGTTTTATCTGTAAGTATGCATGTGCGCATATGATCACAAAAAGGCCAATAAGCTAAGTAAAAAGGTTGATTCGACTTTTGTCGGCGATGTCTCATCGAAGAATAGTGTGTTCTTGTGGCGATTACGCGAATAAAAAAATTTTATTGTATTGCATATTTTATTAAAATATAAAAAATAATTTTCATGAAATAATAATGTCAAGAAAGTTCGACACATTTATTAGCACTCAAAAGAGTTGTGTCAAAAATGTTCCAGTTCTGCTGAAAATAGTCTAACACAAAAGATTTGGTTACTTTTTGGCCAGTTGCAGCCAATCAATCTTTGGATTATATTTTATGAAACTTTCGAGGCATGAATTTAAATCTATTGAAAGTGTTTTTTCGAAGGATCATCGATTTTCGGCAACAATATCAATTCTCCAAGTGGATTTCCAGCATTTAAGTTATAACTCCGGAACTGCGGCTAGCATACTGGAATGACTCTAAATTCGTTGGTTCACTTAGAGTAGACTGACCTGTTTTGAGACAGGCTTTCATAAAGCGATGGCAGTGCTGAGCTTGGTTTGTCATCCTATAAAGTGTCACTTAAAAGCTTTTGCTATAATCAAGCCTCGTTGCTTTGATCTTTGGTTCGATAACGTCAACGACGATCTCTGAGTTAGAACAATTGTATATAATTTCACGGTTACAACAACAAATGAAATATGAAATGGAGTAGAGTTCTGCTCTGGCACCCCTCAAAAAGTTCTACTAAAAAAAATTATATAAGGTGGGAATTGTTTTGTGAGATGATTCACCTGTTCATATTCAAGATTTTTGAAGTTCATTGTGTTGCTCTTCTGCGATTTTTTCTGTGTTTAGCGCGTCTAAAATAAAAGCTGTTCTCTTTTAAGATTTTAAGATCCATACAAGTGCATTAGACCTCACTTAAGGGTTCGGTACAAAGTCTCACTATTCGTCAAAGGCTGAAGTGATCTCTGTTTAAACTTCTAGGTTTACTTAGTTAGGCGCAATAGTCTACAACTTTGAAACTGTGGGTATCAAAAGTCACGCTTATGTTCCAAAGAAATCGGAAATCTCGGAGAACCTATAAGTATTTACATATATAAATTACCAGCGTAACGAGCTGAAACGATTTATTCAGACCTGTCGCTCAGTGTATACGCGAATTAGTAACTCAATTTTTGAAATCTGAAATTCTGAATAACTACTATTTTGAATAACTATTTTTCTTTACAAAAAGGTGCTAATTTGTTGGATTCGCTGATATCGTATAGCTTACAGCTGCCAAACAAACTGAACGATTGAACTCAAGTCCTTGTACGAAAAACTTTTTTGTTTATCAAGGTATCTGCACAAAGAATAGAACAGACGTTTTTCCAAGGTATCGTAACAAATTCCGAAGAAATCGTTGAGATTGGACCACTGTAGCATATAATGGTCATACAAACAGAACGTTAGGAATCTAATGCTTGTATGGACAACTATTTTATTTGACAAAAAATCTGCACGAAATTTGGTACAAACTATTGTCCAAGGAAGTACTACAATCTCTGAACAAATTTTTTAGAAGGAGACCACTACAGCATATAGCTGCCATACAAACAGACTGTTCAAACTCAATTCCTTATATGAAAAACATTTTTATTTGGTAAGGTGGCTTCACAAAATTTGGCGTAGACTATTATCCAAAAAAGTGCTACAATCTGCGAACCAATTTTTCAGATCGAACTACTATAGCATATAGCTGTCATACAAATCGACTGATCAAAATCAAACCCTTATAGGAAAAACATTTTTATTTGTCGAGGTAGCTTCACAAAATATGGCATAGACTATTATCCAAAGAAGTGCTACAATTTTCGAACCAATTTTTCAGATCGGACTACTATAGCATATAGCCGTCATACAAATCGATTGATCAAAATCAACATAAAGGCCTTTTTATAACACTTTAAGTTATAGGGAGAAGCGCGTTAACATTTTTCTTATTTTTTTACATTGAATTAATTCATATATGAAATAAAGATACTTGCTTCAACACATCGAATCACTCCGACTAAGCGCAAAGTTACATAATAATGAAATCAAGCGAACAAATTGTTGGCGTCAATAAAGCGTGCTCTTACAATTGCTGTTGTTTTTATTATTACTTGTGTTTTTATTTTTATTTCGTTTTTAATTTCCCCTTACAATCGTATAATTACGTTAAGCTTTAACTAAAATTAAATTAATTGCTCGCACATACAAATAATGGCAATAAAAAGTTATATTCCCCAACAATTTAATTCATTCACAAAACACACTGTAGCCCGCTTGTGAGTGTGTGTGTGCGTGACTGTGTTTACCTATATTTGCTTTTGTTTTTGTGCTTTTTAGAGGCGCTCGTGTGCACCAACATGCATAAATATTTCGCGTTTCACAATAAAATTCGTACACACAGCAAATACACACACACACACATAAATACTACATTCATTCATACAAGCCTATATACATACATACATATGTGTATGTAAAGACGCTTTAAGGTCAAGGTGTAGGTGCGGCTGGTGAAATGGTTTACACGTGCGGCAAAACGGACATTACACTTCTGCCAAATTGCTTAACTGTGTGTATGCGTGTGTGTAGGAATGAGTGCGCTGGTGTTGGGGGAGTATCTACCTATGTAAGTGTATAGGTATGTGTGAGCGCGTCAACATTGCGTAAAGAGGGCTCACAAAGCCACCAGCATAAAACGGAATGAAATTAAAAGCGTATTATACCAATGTACACACAAACATACATACATACACAAACAAAAGCTAACATACATACATACGCACATACTTGCATTCCGCTCGGCACATTAACACCATACATCGCACACGGGGTGGTTTGTTTCGGAAACGGTGCACCAAGAGAGCGTACCTTGCTATAGTCCCGCGGTAGGGTGGGGTGTTTTGTCTTTCATACACATAAATATGTATATTTTGCGTGTGTGTGTGTATGTGTGCGCGCTGGATGCTTTGTGCGAGAGTTGTAACGGAAATACTTCTGTTTGTCTCTCCAAGTTCACTAACTGTCGTGGTGAGTTTCATATATACAACACGCCAGTGTTGCTGCTGCTGGTTTTGAGTGGCGCTTGTCAGGCAGAAATTTGCTTTGGGGGAAATTTTATTTTATTCCCTTTTTATTTCGGTGCAAACGAAATTTCCTAGTTCCGTTGAGTTATATAATGTTTACATATGGGTACGGTGGAATTAAATTTAATTTCCGACAGTAGAAAAGAACTGCTAACTCTTCCATTCAGGAATTTGACTAAGAATATAATATCAAGCATTTCTCTACGACTTGAAAGTTTGGGTAGAGTTATAAATTTTAAACGACTAGTGTATGGAGAAAAACTTAACCTAGAATTCCATCGCCAAAAGAAAGAAAGAAAAGTCGTAAAAATCCTAGAATTCCATCGGAACTGCCCTAAGACGACAATTCATACAAATTGACCGATCCCACTAAAGTCTTTATATGGAAACATTTTTATTTGTGTAGGGTATTACCAGTGTATCTGAGCTCAAATTTTTTTAAATTATTTTTTTTTTAAAGAAGGATTTTCTTTTGTTTTTGGACAAATAAAAAGCGTTTTAATAGATTTTTGTAAAAATAAAAGCGCTCGTCTACCTTTTTTTTTGCGAGGACTTTTTGCATATTTTTATTTTTTTTATTTTTCTGGTGTGCGGTGTTCGATAACACAGGATTACTAATACTTTCCCACGGGACGTCTGCGCTGGTTCCAAATCGAAAGCTCATATTTTTTGCAGGGCCGTTTTCTTAATGCCTCGTTCCCAGCCTACTGTTGGTTAATTTCTGGTTAAAAATGGGAAAGAACTTAACTGAGAGATAGCTGCTAATCACACATTGAGAAAACGGCCCCATATGCACACGGGTCTGAAACGTGTGGTTGACAACACTGATTTCACCACTTTGCAGCCCATTGACATCAACACGGCCAATACAAAAGCGTACGCTGCTCGCGGCTACACCACACTCGCGTTAGCTTGTTCGTACATCACACATCGTTTTAGACGGGTTTATATTGCAATCAAACGGTATCGCCGATGCAAATTCTAAGAAAACGAAAAGTCTACCAACAAAACCCAGCACCATTTGCGACCATAAACAAAAGGCCAAACAAGAAGCAGAGTGTAAACGGAAACAACGTGCGTGCTAACAAACATAAACACGGATAGAAATAAAAGAAACTACGGTTATTTTGGCAGCGGGCGCGTTTAATTCGAGCAGCTGTACTAATTTATGAAAAGCTGCATAGAAAAAAATTTATCAGAGCCCAAAAAGAGGATATATGGAAATTTAAATAAAAAAAATACATACATATGTACATGTAAATTGTATATATATGTAAGCGTATCTGCAAGTCGAAGAATTTTGGTGCGGTTATAGCGAAAATAGTGTCTCAAAAAAAGTCGCTTAGCGTCTGGTGTGTCTGCTTTTGCGAAATTGGCAAAATTTACCACAGACGATGCACACGTTGCTACATACATAAGTACATGCAGTGGCGTTAAACAAGTTTTGGCGAAAAAGAATTTGCTTTTGTTGCAAACAGACTGTGAGGCCAAAAAGTGTAAGCCAAAATTGTGGTGTAATTCCGTGTTTAAAAATAGTCATTCAGCAATAAAGCGCTTGGTGTGTCAGCGTGCTACGGCCAAACACAACAAAATCAACACAAAGGAAAAGCATAAAAAGTTTTGTGGAAAGAAAATAAAAATTACAGGAAGTGTAAAACATACAGAAAAAAAAGCGAAAATAAATTTTGCGGCGGAGTGTTGCATGCAGCAAACGTCGTTCAAATAAATAACGCTGTAAGTATTTTAACCTTTAAGCAGCAACAACACACACACAGTTGTAAATACCATAAATAGTGTTGAAAAAGTAATAAATGTAGACAAACGGCGGCTGGCGGGGTGTATACAGGCGACACGTGCCGCTGCTGTCAGGGCCATTTTACAAATACAAACGCAAAAAATATACATTTGTAAATCCCCAAAGTGTGCAGTCAATTCTTATTCGCGTGTGTGTGTGCGTGCGGCAGCAAACAAAGCACAACAAAGCGGCAGCGACGACGCGCAGCGTTGTGGCAAACATTGTACTCACTTCTCTTGCTGTCGTTGGGGTTGTTGCAGTTATAGTTTTCGTGTCTGTTTTGACGTAGGCTTTTGTCAATTCGCTTTCAGCGATGCATTCAAGTTGCGAAGCGCAAGCAAAGGCGAATGAAAAGCGTCTACAAATATGTATATGTATGCCCTGTACAGGGTATGTTAAGTACGTCACGATGTTTGTAACCAAAAAAATGGAACCATAAAGTATATGCTCGTATGTACATACATATGTATGTATAGTATACAATGCTCAATTGAAAAGTTTCCGAATCGCCACAAAGATCACACTACTTAAATCCGTATGATGAGTTAGCACAAATCTTCATAAGGCGTGTATATAAATTTGACAGCTGTCGGATTATTAGTTTGTGAGTTATAACATTTTGAGTGCAGCAACTTTTTTTTATTGTGAAACAAATGTATAAAGAGGAATATGATAAAACATTGCTTATTTGAAGGGATAAGATAAAGTTAAAGCAAAAACTTGACTTGATGACGAGTTCCTGGACACTGCCCGATGAAAATCAACCATAAAAAATTGGTATGCTAAGTTTAAATGTGGTGAAATGCACACCGAAGACTCTAAACGCGGCGGATGCCCAAAAGAGACTGTTACCCGAGAAAACCTTAAAAAATTCCACAAAATAATTTTGGTTGAACGTAAAGTAACCTTGTTCAAGAAAGCAAGCACTCTAAAGGCATCAACTGAACGTTTGAACCATATCATTCACGAATATTTGGGTATGATAAAGCTCTGTGCAAAGTAGGTGACGCGCGAGCTCGTATTGGACCAAAAAGATGTTCATACAAAATAAGCCCCAGCTTTAGCATCGACACATTACAATGGTTGAAACATGGTTCCATCATTTTACTCCGAAGTCCAATCGACAGTCATCCGAGTGATCTGCATACAATGAACCCACAACAATGCGCATTGAATAATTTATTTTTTTTTTTGACTACAATGAAAAGGGAAGAACTGCTTCATCAGGACAATGCATCGTGTCAGTGAAAATGTTCCGTATTCTCCAAATCTGGCGCCCAGCGATTATTTTCTGTTCTCAGATCTCGAAATAAAGCGCGCTAGGAAGACATTTTCGTAGAATGAAGAGGTGATCGCCGAAGAAAACGAATTTTACCAAAAAAAATAAGTTTTTCTGATCCGTTATATGATCAACGTGCTTAGCGGAGTCGATTTAGCCATATCCCTCTGTAGTCTCTCAGTTTTTGAGATACCAATCTGAAGTTTTCTCCCCAAAAAGCCGTTCATTTAATGGAACCGCCGATTTTGGACCATTATTTCATATAGCTGAGTAATCCGAATCATTGCCATGGATTATTCATTAAACACTATAGTTGCCATACAAACTCACCGATTAAAGTTCTTGTAATGAATCTTTTGTGTTTGTGAAGGGTATTATAGCGTCGGTGTAACCGAAGTTAACATTTTTTTCTTGTTATACATATAATTTTGTACATGTTTGCGTATGAGATCCACGTAGCAGCAACGGCAACGTTGCACTTGCCACGACACGAATGCATGCAACAACAATAACTACAGCCAAATCGTGAATTTTCGCCCACCATTGTCTACACAATTCCATTGATTGCTGAATGTTGTTTCTTGTTATCGTCTGTTTGTGTTGTCTGCAACACGCATACATCCATAACTACAGCCGTGCTATCGTTATTGCAGCAGCCATTTTCTTCTGATTATACATTTTATTTTCTCATTCATTTTCGCTTTTCTTCCCTATTTATATACATACTTAGCTGTATACAATAGGTATATTCCAGCTTTATTGTTGCAAGCAGTCGCCGCAGTCAGCTTTACACGGCCAAGGACGAATTTAGGTCGAATAGGACAGACGTGTGAATATGCATTGTTCATTGCGCAATACACATTCACATTCATTCGCACACATACCCACCTGTATATGTGTAGATATACATTTCATATCATATATATATACTATATATGTGTATATATGTATACATAGGTGTGTAGACAAGGATATTCTGCTGTCGGCTGCTGGCATTGAGTTTGAATACAAATACCAATTGGCGCGGCAAATTGTGTTCCTTAGCATCTGCTCTTTCAGATACCTACATTTATTATATATTGAATATATATATATATATATATGTGTGTGTGTATTTGCTAACGAGTTGCACGTTCTTCTCCTGCCTAGGCACAGGCGCACAGTGTCCTTAATCGGAATTAAAAATAGAAAATTGTGTCTCGGCTATTTTCGGTAGCGAAAAAGTCGATATCTCTAATGAAAAAGAAAATAAAATTGAGATATCGTTAAAAATGAGATAACAACGTTTAACGGTACTTGATAAATTCGTATATCGTCATATAAAATGAAAAACTGAAAAACAGTGTAACATTATAAAAAAAAATAATAACTATCTGATATAATAACCAATATATAACCATTTTATAGCAAAAACTCAAATATCAGCTTTAATGCTGTAGTTACTCTTTGGAGATTCCACCATTGTCTTGAACAATAACCCATGTCAAATTTGGAACACATATCTCGTGAAATGAAAAAGTTTTCCTTTCCTCTCTTCAGATATTAGCCCTCAAAGCCTTTGTAGCCTGACACTCAGTAGAAGTGAAGTTGCTTTCTTTTGGCAACACTTTTCACTGTTGCCCTGCTTCTCAAGACACTTTTGGCCGATAAGTGCTACGAGGTTACTGCCTTGATGGTTGGTTGGCTGTCTACGTAGAAGTTGACCCTAGATTTGCCTGCAGGTTCATTAGAGGCCAGCTCCGCGGTTTTCGCAATAGAAAAGACCTCAGCCTGAAATATACTGCAGTCGTGTTACAATTTTAAAGGCATTGCTGTTTACGTTCGTAATAAATTCAATAAATAGCGACCGGTTTGTGTTTCTAATTTTTTATGTGATATTTTATTACTAAAGGGTGGCATTAATGATTAAAAAATAATAATATAAATGTAATAAAAATATTAAATTAATATATTTTAAATAAAAAGCTTGTTTCGCAGTCTAAAAGCAATAATAATTATAGTCTACATAAATTATTATTTTTTTATAAAAAATTTTGCGATAGCATGGTTGCGTGGGAAAGTAAAAATAATAATGATTTAATCTAAATTGCCAGCTACTAACTTACAGGCGCTTTCTAATCGGTCTCTGAACTTTGAGACAATTATAAATGCTATCAATAGTACAATGTATAAATGTTGTAAAAAATGTATAAATAATTAATAATTTTAATTATATATTCTGATTTGTAAAATCAGAAGTGTAAGATTTTCATTCGGCTTAACATCAAAATTGATTAAAAATTTTAAAACTTTTTGTGGTATATGGTTTTGAAGTGGTGAGTTCGACTTGTTTTGTTACCACGATACTCAGCTGGTTCATTGCCAATACAAGTTTCGGAGACTTAGCTAAGCTCTTCACGCAGAATAATGTGGAAACTTCCCTCTTAAATATGGACTGCAAAATACGTTGTTATTTGTCATAAATATCGAAGAGATCACGCTGTAATCCAGTTTAGTCTAATAGGGAAGAAACTCAAATCGATTTCGTGAGCAACGTCGATTGATTTACGGTGTCTCTCATTAAAATAATTTGCATTTGAAAGCTATTACGAAGCTTACCGATTGAATTAAACATTCTTGTAGAATTAAACATTCTTGTAGCCCGTGTTTACCACCATGAAGTGTATAACCCATTGCTATTCTCATGTCAATTGTTTAAGTCAGTCAACCCATTGTAGTTAAGCCAGTTGCTTGTTCGATTCGTCACACTAAAAGGGGACTTGAAAATAATTGGTGTTTTTAGCATACTTACATACTTACCCCTGATGACCTAAATATGCTTTTTCTTGCTCCAAAATCCAACCGCTGCATTCCCATCTCAAAGCAATTTCTTTGAAGCACTGATTTCGTGGTCTGATTTCACCACTACTTAACCACTGTTCATCTGAATGCCTGCACAGCACTGGCACGTGAAACAATATTACGCAGAATGTTGATAAAGAGAATTGTAAAATTTTTACATACGCAAATATGCCGAGAGGTACACGCGCCTTTGACCGGTCGACCTCTAGGGTATATCCTTCTTGTTATTTTCTTCTTTTTCTCCTTACGTTTTGCGTATTTCTTGTCTGCCAATACGACGTAAGCGTGGCTACGCTTTATTTTACAGTGGCATTTTATCCGCGCTGAGGCGTGGGTGGGTGTGGAGGTTTTATGATACCTATAGGCAACGAAAGTACGTAAAAATTAAAGGAAATATTTTAACAGCGGCACGATGTTTGGGTAAAGTGCTGGAATTTCGGTTGGCAAATGTAAAAGGTAAAGTGTGTCTGTGTTTAGGGTTCCATCTGGCGCTGCATAACTTCGCATGCAAAATAGGAAATGAGCGTAAAATTTGAAAGCTGGATTTACAGTTAAATTTTTTTTTATTTGAGGCATGTGTGCAATTTTGAAATTTCATAGGAAACTGGAACAGTAAGGTAAGTCAGCTAGAAGAAAAGTGGCAAAGCGGGATTTACAGTTAATTTTTGTTGAGACATGTGTTTTAATTTAATATTTTTAGACGAAGCAAAAAGATTATGTTACATTTGAGGGCTTCAAGAAGTTAGTAGTAAAGGGGGAAGTATATATTGTATGTATATTAGAGCGCTTTGATTTATAGGACGCCAAAAAAAGAAAAGA